ACAGATTCTATACATATCAAAGGATAAGAGAATTTATACATACATGAATTTGACAACTTAGACAAGAGGACCAATTCCTCAAGAAACACAACTATCACAATTCACCTAATATGAAACAGATATTTGACTAGTCCTATAGCTATTAATGAAGTTGAAAACATAATTTCAAAACTCCTCCAAAAAGAAATCTCTAAGCCCAGAGAATTTCACTTGAGAATTATACAAAATGTTCAAAGTATATAAACACCAAATCTGTACAATCTCCTTCAGAAAGCAGAAGAGGAGGGATCACTTCCCAATTCATTTTATGAAGCTAGTTATCCTAATACCAAAAGCAAGCAGAGAATACAAAAAGAAGACTATAAAACAATATCACTCATGAACACAGACACAAAAATCCTTTAACACAGAATTCAGCAATATGTAAAAAGAATTATACACTTAGACACCACAACCAAGTGGGGTTTATTTTAGCGATGCAAAACTGATTTGCTAGTCAAAAATCAGTCAATATAATCCATCACTTATTAACAGCCATCAATAGAGAAAAGCATTTGACAAAACGGAATATGTACTCATCATAAAAATTCTCAGAAACACAGAAATATGCATAAAATTTTTCTGAACCTGACAAAGCATATATATATATTTTTAAAACCTGCTGCTATTACTACATACTGAATAATGAAAAACTGAATGCTTTCCTCCTAAGATCAGGAATAATGTGAGGATTTCAGTGTTCACCACTCTTATTCAACAGAGTGCTGAAGTTCTAGCCAATGCAATAAGGCAAGAAAACTAAACGCATACAAATCAGAAAGGAAGAAATAAAGCTGTCCCTATTTGTAGCTGACATGACTGCCTATGTACATAGTCCCAAAATATTTACCAAAGAAGAAAAAAACAAAACTAAGTCAGAGGTATAAATCTAACAAAACACACAAAGGACCTGTTGCTAAAACTACATAATGCTGATGAAAGAAATAAAAAATCTAAATAAAGAGAGACATACCATGTTCATAAATCAGAAGACTCAACATAGTAAAGATTTCAATTTTTCCCAAATGTTTAGTGACATTTCTATTAAAATCCCAGCAACATTTTTCTGTAGATATAGAGAAGATTTTGATGTCATCAGAATGGTGAAGAAACTCCAGACATCTCCTCAATAAAAGCAATGAGGACACTGACAAAAATTGTCAAAATTAACTCTTTCAGAACTCTGGAATTTACCCAAATGCTTGTAAAAATGTGGGAAGATCTTATTAAAAAAACAAAATGGCTGAATCTCAGTAAAAATAGCAAGCTCTGTAGAATTCTGAACTTGCTTCATTCCTAAACCCCTTGTTCCATTCATGTGGTATTCTTAAAAAGCAATAGCCAACAATCACAGTGAAAACCTGCAGTCTAGCAGCTGCTGGAGAGATATGAACAGGTTTGGAGCTCTTTTCTAATGGCAAAAAAATGCAATTACTTTTGCACCAACCTGGCAAAAAAAAAATGCAAGTACTTTTGCAACAACCTAATAAATCCTCATTCTCAGAGAAATGTCATTATCTGATCTAACTGGCAGTTTCCTGGGAAAACTTACTTGTATAAGGCTTGTCTGTATTTGACCTGACTCATAGCTCACCACTGCAAAACAGCCTTTTCCTTGGATGCATTTGTCAAAAACAATCAGAAACAACTGTTTAATATCACAGCTGCCTAAAGCAGATTAAAAGTTACAGCAAACAATAAGCTAACCAAAAATCTTAAAAGAAAAAACTGGGGAATGATCTTCTCCCCAAACCATATGAGGTTTTAGAAGCTCCAGTGATTCTAGAAAGTCATATGCATTAGGACTGTGTGCATGCCCATGGCTGTGTACATGCTCCAGAAAGACCTAAAAAGACCCTACGTTTTCACCTCTGTTTCACTTTGATATGTGCAAATAGGAAGTGAAGATTGAGACAGAGTTAACCAAAGTTTTCAACAATCTTAGGAGCATTTATTCAAGAAAAATGATTGAATCTCAGTAAAGTGTGAATACTGCCTGGCTGAATGTTGAAGGCATGACCCAACATACATACAGAGATCCTCAACAAAGACTGGGAAACATATGGGTTTCAGGCATTTAAGGAAATATGTATTCAGTCACTAGCTAACCACTAAACTAACCTAGCAGTCACTTCGGTAGCCACATATGACCAAGGATACAGACCTTACAGAACTAGGAAAGTCACTAAGCAAACAAACACCAACAACGTACTCAGTGAAACAGCAACATCAAGCCCTGGAGAATGGAACGGGATTGACTTCCAGAGTTGCTAGAGTATGTAACTTAAACTGTTCAGTTTCAACAAAAACACATTGAAAGACGTGAGAAAGTATGGCCCATACTCAGGAAAACAGCAGTCAATAGAAATGGACTTATAAGACTTATAACCCTTTTCCCATTTGTCCTGAGAGTATCTGCTGGTGGTGCTTGCGGCTGCAGCATTTACCTCAAGGTAACTTTGACACAAAATATCTTGCTTTTATTATTTTCACATCGTTCTAGTATACTGACTTTGGAAACAAAAGACATCAATCATTCTATTTACAGCATTTGGTTTTTAGTAATATAGCATTCCTATGCATGATGTTAACATCATTCTAGAACAGTTGTTGGCCAAATGTTCATTTGATGAATCCAATTATTCCAAAATAGATGATTGTAATGATTCAGAAGATTATGATGTCAGTTCTTTTGAAAAATAACTCCAAGAACAGTTTTTACATTTTATTTTCACATTGAAAACTGGTCAGATTTGCTTAAGCCTCAAAGAGTGTGTTTATGTAAAATTAAATGAGTGCTGGCAGTGAGCTGCACGTACTTTTTTTCTAAAGAGGAAAAGCATTAAAACAGCTATTTTAAATATGTTCAATAAATTAAAAGAAACCATGTCAAAAAAACTAAAGGAAGAGAACAGTGTCTCACTGAATACAAAATATCAACAGAAGCATAGAAATTACAAAAAAAGAGCTAACTAGAAAAATCTAGAGTTTTTTCTACAGTTGAAAAATGCAGAACTAAAATAAAAGATCAGAGACTCTTAACAGCAAATCCAAATAGGCAGAAGAAAGAGTAAGTGTACTTGAAGATAGGTTGATTGAGATTGTCCAGCATGAGGAACAAAAAGAAAAAAACAATCAAGAAAAATAAGCAGATGGCCAGGTGTGGTGGCTCATGCCTGTAATCCCAGCATTTTGGGAGGCTGAGGTGGGTGGATCACCTGAGGTCAGGAGTTCCAGAACAGCCTCGCCAACATGGTGAAACCCCATCTCTACTACAAACAGAAAAAATAGGTGGGTGTGGTGGTGGGCGCCTGTAATCCCAGATATTCAGGAGGCTGAGGCAGGAAAACTGCTTGAACCCAGGAGGCGGAAATTGCAGTAAACCTGGCCAACATGGTGAAACGCCATCTCTACTAAAAATAAAAAAAATTAGCCAGGTGTGGTGGTGGGTGCCTGTAATCCCAGCTACTTAGGAGCCTGAGGCAGGAGAATCACTTGAACCCAAGAGGCAGAGGTTGCAGTGAGCCAAGATCACACCATTGCACTCCAGCCTGGGCAACAAGAGCAAAACTCCATCTCAGGAAAAAAA